GATAGTCCATTTTGAAGTCGTATCATTTGGTCTCTATTCAACAGATTTTTTGTTATCACCCATTCCTCAAAGTTATATTACTTCCTTAAGTTCCTTCTACTGTTTTCTTCGAAACGCCTAGGTATGGCTATCTAGACGTTCAAATTTTCGTGCTGAATCATTGCAACTATGTACAGAATTAATTTAATATATTTCAGGTACTTCAGTACCTAAGGCAAAGACGTTAGCTGATCCTTCAGACGTAGCAACAGACGATACCTTAGTACGTACACATAATTATTTCTATCTGACCGTTGACGCTATACCATTTCTGAATGAGGTCCATTAGTTGACGTCCATATTTCTATCCTGAATAATTATAACAAACGCATTGTCAGCGAAGCACTGAGCGCGCCGGCTTATTTGCACTCAATAAATACGCGCACTGCAAATTGAAACCGACAGACTTACCAGTCGTCCTGTCAGACAACAAAAATGTACAAAAAAAAATAAGTTAAAAAATTCTGTCTCTCCACATCAGCGACGCGTTTCCGAAAAAATAACATACTATAGTTTATTTCATAGTAAACTTGGCAGTTGTCACAGCGGGTCGTATTCGTATGATATAAACCGAAGTCTCGTGAAAAATATTGTTGGCAGGTATGAAGTTCGTTTGTAAAAAAGCTCTCAGCGTGAGATTGTAAAACATTTTCTATATGACAGAAAAAAAATATCACTGTTTTTATATTTCTCTGACAGCAGATAAATATGAACAGAAATTTGTTCATTTTGTGCGTGACGGTTAAATAGGCCCTGCCGCCTGCCAAAGTGTATACTTGTCCTTGTTGATGCATAAAGGGTCTGCTCTAACCATTCGTTAAATTTTTTTGTACAGTCCATAGTTGTACCTATGTGTTCGTGAGTCGCCTTTTAAAAGTTGTCAAATATACGCTATAATGTTTAATCTGTGTTTTTATTAGTTACATAATTGTATACGGCATCTTTCTTTTGATTTTAGTTTGAAATTAAATTTTGACCTATAAGCTAGTTCACTAATTGATGCAAACGTCTGTCCGCCGCTGGTCAGACATCTTTGGTAGGCGCTCGCATCGTATATCAGGCTGACGCTAATAATGGCAAGGTCACTTAGACGTCCTTCTTTAAACACAAAGGCCTCGTGTCGGTCAGAGATCAGCCTAAATGCCGATCACTAGACGAACTTAAACCTGCTTCTCGCCGCACGGAACGATTCAGCTAAGATTTACCACTACCTTGAACACTCTTCGTCAACTTCGTATATTGCACGGTCAATCATCCACTCAATGGATCCTACCCGTTACCAATACGCGCAGTTTAATTATTTATAGCGGTGCTCATTGAATGGGTACACTGTTGTGAAGAGATTAGGTCCCCGTGGTGATTGCATCTTCTGGATAGAGGAGCATCATCATAGACGTTTATCGCTTTCGGATAAACATATCCAACCAAAAATAACCGTACTACACAGTTTAT